TTATATAGTATTTATTATTAAAAAAATTAGCAAAATAGAATTTTATTATATAAATTTAGCAACTTAATTGAATAGTATAATTATAAAAAGTGCATAAGTACAAAACTATTAATTATAAAAAAATTATTATAATTTTATTAATTTTTATCTAATATTTTATTTTTATTGATTAACTATAATATTGGTTCAATTATTTTTTTTATCTTATCTTTCATATTGTTATTAGTATAAATAACAACAAATTGTTTTAATAACTAGAAAATAGAGTTTCTATTATTGTCTATTGTATATTTTAAAAAATATATATTTTTTAAAATCAATAATAATTTTAAAAACAGTTTTTCTCATATTTTTTAATAATATTTTATATTGTATAATATTTTGTATTATATCTTTAGATAGTCTGTTGCTTTAATTTCTATAACCCTGGAGAATATAAAAGTTATAAAAGTATAATCCACTAGTTTTTGCCTATTTGAACTAGCAATTTTTTTTTAAGATATACTTGTATATTAGCATCAAGTAATATAGCAATTGATTTTAGATTATTTGTAAAATTTTTAATTATTTGTTGTTGTTTATTAGTAAGTTGAATAAAATTGTATTGAAGAATAAAATTGTATTGAAGAAAAAAAAATATAATTATTAAAGGATTATCTTCTTTATTGATTTTATAAAAGTTGTATATATTTTTGAAAGTCTATTATGAAAATGACTTGGTTTTTTTATTAAATAGTTTTTTATTTGCTTTAGTAGCTACTAAATCTTATTTGTATTTAGTAGGCTAAAATAAAATAAATTTAATATTAGTATATAATAGAATAAACAATTTTTTATATAAATTTGAAATATAAAATATCTATAAAATTCTGATAAAATTTGAATTAAAAATATATAGAACTTCAAAAAAGCTATTATTTAAAGTTGATAAAATTTTATCACTATAATTTAATATTAAAAAAATTATATAAATAGTTTTTTAAAAAATTTTAAAATTTTGCAAAGTAAAAGTTTTTTTTAAGGAAATTGCTAATTTACACCATAGGTGATAATCACCTGTAGCTAATTTGCCAATCAAAATTTAAGATCAGGTATAATATGTAAATCAATTTTGTGTAACAAAAACAAAGAATTTTTTTAAAAAAGGTTTATATCTCAAAATTTTGTCTACAAAACTATCTTTGAAGCTCTAATAAAAAAAATTTCTTGCTAAATTTTACTATATAAAATACTTTAACTCTAATCTTAACTAACTCTAACCTTACCCTTACCCTAATCTTAAAGAGGCTAATTTTTTGTTTTAGTAAAAATTATTATTTTTTTTTATGCATTGTAGATCACAGGTGATAATCACCTAAGGTGATTTTTAGTTATTTTCTTTTTTTAATATTATAACTTTACTTATTAAATTTTTTTTTAATTTTTAAACTATTATAATTACTTTAAATAAAACAATTTGGATCTTATAGTTTTTTATTTAAATATAATATTTTATAAAATAACTTTATTTTGCTAGTATTATAAATTGATATTAGGGTTAAAAATTAATATCTATTTGAATGATTGCCAAATTTTTAATATTTAATAAATAAATTAATTTATTCAAACATAAATATATAAGCTTCAATAAGTTATTAGATTTAAAAAACATGATAAAAATAGCTAACTTTAAGATCTATTTATAATTAAAATTCTTAATAAAAAACTATTAAATACTAATAAATATAGTAAAGTTTTTTTTATAAATTTTTATAAATTGAAAAGTAACTCTTCCCATAGATCACTTTTATCAAAACAGGAATAAGAAGAAAAAACTTTCCCGCAGAATTATTTCAAAAATTTACTAACTTGATATCTGGCTTCTAAGTAAAGTTATTCGGCACCTATAAAAGTATTTAAAAGAGATGTCTTTTATTAAAAAAGTTCTCTTCCCGACGAGTAAATAACTATAAACACTCCAAAAGACAAAAAACCAGTTTCTTCATCCTCCCGTGAAAGCAGTTCTAAGGACCACCAATATTTATACACCCTACTGCAAAGTACTAATAGCTCACTATACCAAAACAATAAAAAACCCAAACAATAGTTCTAACCAAGTCCCAATTTGTTACCAAAAACATAAACCTGAAAGTTCTTCTGGTATCTTTGGCTATTTCTCTACGTTCTGCAAGCCTGTGCAACCTAAAGTTACCCCCATTACCACACAGCCACCAACCCCTAAAACTGAACACACAAAAAATTTTGTCAAAATCACTATCAAGGACTGGTCAAAACTTACTTTCTCGGTTAGTTTCTCAATCCCAGAGCATGCCAACGACTTTCTTTTTTATACAGATATTACCAAATCAGAAAAGATCCCAAATCTGATCAATTATCCATCTCAATAGATATGCAAACATGAAGACCCAACCCAATCAATTTTATTCGACCTCACTACACACAAAAACAACATTGTAAACATCAGCACCAAGTACCCCAAATCAACTCGCAGCTGCGATCTTACAACCATTACCAACGTATACGAAAGTAGTATGAAACCTTACACCAAAGCTAAAATCAATACAGAGCTAGTCAGAATCCCATATAACTCTATTACACAAATAGAATCTGATAATGAGTCTAATAAAAGCATCAACAAAGAGTCTGCCCCATATTCAATAGTAACTAGTAACCTAGCTAAGTTATAGATAGCTACGAGCAACACAAACAAAGACAACAAATTCACTACAAATACAAACACAGTACCACTACCAAACACCAGTAACATTGCCAAAACTATTACACCAAGACCTAGCACACCCACCAATCAAATCACTATACCCATAATCTCCACACTGACTGCTACTACTAGCAATGCTACACCCACTTCTAACTATACCCCTGCAGACACTATAGCTAGCTCCAATGCCAACCGCAAAGGCCTAAAACCTATCAAATATATCCCCAATTGCTACAACCTCTAACAAAGCTATGAAGACCTTGGCAGGTAGCACCTTCACCCCAACTAGAACTCAAAGAAGCCTAAAAGCAATGCCAAAGCCAATTTATAGTCAAGTTATTAAGACAAACATTAAACTCCTTGCTACTGATGCTCCTGAAGATGATATGAAATGGGCAACCGAAGTATATCTTAAAATCACAACCCCAATTAATACACCTTTTGACACAAACCTATGGCCAATCAAGGCCATTGCTAAAGCACTAGAAACCCCAGAAGGTATATACAACTTCACTAGCTATAAGCTAACTACAACCCCTACACAGCATAAACTGCCTAAAGCTATCACTCTCAAGTTCATATACTACGATACCAGGTTCTTTACCACATTTACATGCAACTCCAAAACCACCCCAGCTCACCAAAAAGAATACAATGATCTTTTCAACAAGGCCCTTGCTGCATACAAACAGGATAATGATATTATACTCACCAATACTGCCATTCGCATTACTATTAGTCTAATGCTTAAGCAATGGCTTATTGGCCAATATCTTTCAAATATGAACTTTTCTAAAATCTCATATAGGTCAAAATGCAGAGCTATCCAGTATGCCAGAGGGTTCCTGCAACTTAAAAGCACTAGTGAAGAAACTTATAAAGAAATCAGAACCCAGATTAATAAAGCACTTGAAAATAAGCTTATTCCCCTACCTGACACCCCCGAACAAATGCCCAGTGATATTCTCCAAATTCTACTATTCAAACTTCTGATTACACAACGATCACATACAAGAGCCATAGTGAATGCACTAAGAAGAATCTTTAAATTTACAGAGCTTCCAACTACTTACTTCGCCAAACTTCCTCTATTGCCTCCCCACTACAATGGATTAACACCCAGCTTATGCCAACTATTTCCAATTACCCACTGCTCTTTCTTACAACACCTTGCTCTATACAAAAGGAAGCTAGCAGACTTTTATACTGTAACAAAAATTCCAGACTCATACTTCAATCTACCACTACCAAAGCAGCCTCTACCTATGACATATCAAGAGTTAAATCACAAAGTCTGAAAATTCTTCCCATTCAACCCAGCTATCTCTCCTATACCACTTGCAGAGGTAATCTCCCAACTCAGAGAATACTACATATTCAAGTTATTACCAAATAACTTCTTTGTCACAAAACCTCCTCTTCCTACTGATACCAACAAAATTAAAACCAGTACACCATTCGAGTTCCCTATCACAAACGACGCAGTAGCTAGAGAATTTATCAAACAAGTCTCTTACCATTATAGAGTCCAACTCCCACTTCCCTCTGAGATTATACAGGCCAATTCAACCAACAAGCAAACCCTGCCAACAGCAGAAGAAATTACAGAACACCTTAATATTTCCTTCCCAATTACAACTATACAACAACTTATATCTACTGCCAGACTCCTTCGCAAGTACTACTACTTTAGTTAGCTCCCCACAGACTGGATTCAAATCAACAATAGCCCCTCAGATAATACTGATAACGCTGACACTTAGTGCTCGGCAAAATCAAACAAAAACTCGATTATCGAGTTTTTGAATCTATCAATTTACAATATTGAGAATTAAATACAAATTTTATTTTTAGTATATATATAAATCTAACAGGAATCCGATCTTACTTTAGTCTTCATGGTAACTAACATGAAGTTTAAAGTCAGATTAGAGTAAAAATAGATTTTATAATTGAAGCACAATACTACAAATCGATAGATTCAAAAACTCGATAATCGAGTTTTTGTTTGATTTTGCCGAGCATTAATATTAATTTAGAAGAAATAAAGAATTTTAATAATCTTGGCTATAAGGCCAATATTAAATTTATTAAGAATTTTGGAAATATGAAGAATATAAATATTATATATATACAAATCGACTTTCATTTATAATTGAAAAATGTTCATATTAAAATTTACATAAATCTAATAAAAACTCATTTTTCGAAAAATTGTAAAAATGGGCCCTTTTAATTGGGAACACCCCATATGTTATTTATCACATGACTTTAATTTACTTTAATGCTTTACCCTGAGAACAATTTTACCAACACTTTTTCCTGATTTGAAATATGTCAATGCTTCTACAGCTTGATCGAATTCAAATTCATTAATTTTTGATGGTGGATCTAATTCTAAAGTTTGAAGTTGTTCAAACAACTTATTCATCCGTTCTTCGGATTCATATAGATGGATTAAATTGAAACCAGCGACCTAGATGTGATTATATATACATATATAATAAATAAATAAAAACCAAGGAAAGTCTTAAGATTTTAAAATAACCTACAGTTTTGTTGTCTTGAGTAAGTTGCATAGGATCAATTTTTGGTCTCCAAATGTATTTCCAACCCAATTTTATCCATTGAATTATATCAAATATAGGATGTAAATTTCCGGTCGGTGTAAAACTTGCAGCCCCATACACAACTAGTCTGCCTTCTTTCTTTAATAAATTATAATTTGGCCAAAACCAATCGCCCATTACACTATCTAATACTATGTCAAATAATCCCTCTTGATCTATCTTTAACAAGGCTTGTTTTGCTCGATCTTCAAAATCTTTAGCAGGCTCTCGAAGAATAAATGTAAATTTGGGATTTTCACCGTATTTTTGATTCAATAAATCTAATTTTGATGATGTACCAACAGTACCAACAACTTTAGCCGATTTCTTGCTAAGAATGGAAAGTGCTGCTAAACCACATCCTCCTGCAGCAGAATGTACTAAATATTACAATAGAGAGGCCTTTTTAAACTTACTACTATAACAATAACATGGCTACAAGATCTTTTATAGGTTTATAATGATATCTAAAAGATAAGTATAATTCTTTAAGTCTGTTAAGAAATTATACTCTTCTTTAAGGCAGTTTATTATAGAGGCAAAATTTATAAATAAAATATAACTTTATTAATAACAAGAGATAAAGCTATCTATTAGATTTTTGTATCTAAAGAATTCTTTACAAAAATAACTATCTATAAAGAGAGAGGAAAAGAATAACTTGTCTTTATTAAGAATTTTTAATATATAAACTTGTTACTTAATTTGAAACAAAAGTAAAGGTTTATATATCTGTTGGGTAAAGCATCAATGCTTATTACTTTACTATTGCTAAGTATTGCTGAGAAGTATTAAGCATCAAGTATCAAGTATTAAGTATCAAGTATTAAGCATTAAGTATCAAGCTTTAAGTATTAGATATCAGTATACTTTTTACAAGTTTTCTTTTTTGGCTAACAATATAAATAATACTAATGCTAAATATAGCTAAAAATAATAATAAAAATAACAATAAAATAAAGTAAGATAATAAAAATAATTATACTAATATTTATATATTTGAAAAACTAATATAATCTACCTTTATTAATATTAATCTTATTGATATTAACCTAAGTAATAAAATAAATTTTTATAAATTTTTATATATTAAAATTTCTTTATATATATCAACTTTAATATTCTCTTGTTAATATCAATTTAAACTAATCCAAATAGGTTAGGAGAGTGCCATTTATTACCTAATTTTTAGGGTAGGGGGGGTTTCAGAAAATTATCAGGTTCTAATAATAAATAATTTTAATTAACTAAAAAAAAATTAAAAAATTAAAAATTTTTAAAATTTAATATTAAATAACTTTTGATTTAGTAATCTGTTTTAAGTGATTTTACCACCAAAATATCAGTCTCAATGAGACTATTCTAACAAGTCTAAAATCATCAAAACCCAATTACAGGATCTTGAGATTGTTATAAATTTATATTTATATTAAAAATTATTATTAAAGATCTTATCCCTTAAATTGTAACACAGGCAAATTTGCCTGTGTTTTTATTAAAAAGTTTAATTTTTTTAATAAAAACT